ATAATTCACGAGATGTAAACAGGGCTAGCGCTAATCGCAACTACAATTTCGCTAACAATCAAGTGTCCTAACCTTATTTACATCTCGGCGACCTTGACAAAAATTGAGCTGGCCTTAACAAATAGATTTAGCCGTGCTGTAGCGATTGTTCTCATGACTTACATTAGAATTTATTTGCATTAGCATTAATGATTAGCGGATATGCTTGGTCATTCGAGGTTAACCCTGTCTAATCGTAACCTGTGGGACAAGAGCTTTTAAAGGGACTATCCCTTATTTGAACAGAGTCTCAAAAATAAAAGTCCGAGTATGTATGAAATTTAAACGCCAAAATATAGAGGAATGGGGCATTTAACGTATCTCAAAATTTCTGCTCAAAATATTAAGTCGTTTGGACGTGACCGTCAAAACTGCTTATCCGGACACGTAACCCTTTTAAGATTTCGGGTCAATTTTTTCGTTGGGAGACCTGATAATCGATTCACCTTCATTGAGAGGTCTATACAGTGAATGGCCCAATCCTGTACTTGATAATGAAAGGTAAATTTCACCTACACATTATTTTTATACAAAAAATGTCTGGTTTTATCTAGACACCGCATAATACAGCTTGGGACACCAGTCTCCATTTCCAGATGGAGACTAACGGGTTTCAGTTATTTGAAAACTTATCACAAATATTGAGTTAGTTCCTCGTCCCTTAGGTAGAGGATTTTAAGGGATTTTAAAACAAAATTAAGCAGTTTTATTCTCCAAAAGTTTTAAGGGATTAGCCCTTTAAGCTCAACCGTTGCTGGCATTATAAGCGAAAGACGATTCTGTATCTCGATTATTCTTGAGTTTTCTGTTGGGATAAAATACATTTCCATATATAGAAACGTTAACTAAGTTATAGGTGAGTATCTATACGGAAGTTAAAATGAAGTCGTCTCTCGGGATCTAATTTTAAGTCATCGAAAACTTATTAACAATCGCTCATCACTTGTTTTTGTTTTTTGTTAGTTGTTCGGTAGAGATATTAGTTCTGTAAGAAGATTAACTACATTAAAGCCATTACTTCTAAACAAAAATAGCCAGGCAACTGAACACATTGATTTTGTTGTGGGTTTTTTTTCTGATTTATAGGTTGCAAATTTTAAAAGATTGAGTACATAAGGCGATTACTGCAAAACAAGGACACCTCGCTTTTTACTGTTTCTTATTTCTGTATATACATTTTGTGACATTGTGTAACCGATGTCATAACTCATGGTATTCCTAACTATAATAGGCTAGTAAAGAGTTTCTAAGTTGAACTACGCTTTTGTAACCATTTCAATGGATATTTTCCTCACAAAAACCTAAACACATTCGGGAGCCTGGACACTTCACTAGAATGTGAGGCTGAAACAAACAAGAAGTTTTGTCGTGCATCAGACTTTAATTGATGTCACTGTAAAAATAATATCGTTCACTTATGAATAGTTGACCTCTACTAGCAAACATTTTGCATATACAAGGACGACATAGTCATTTGTCTAATAGTAAACGATAACAGCTTTACAGTGTGTACAACAATATAATAGCCTCGAATTTTAAGACGTGATTGCTAGAATCCTTGTGTCCCGAAAACAACACACACACACATGTCCAAGCCCACACAGATGACGTAAATTCCGTGACGCGACAAACGAATTCATTAATTACATGTACATTCATTCTATTCCTGCATTGGCCGAGAAAGTTCATAGGGATTTTCCGACGTGGTTTCGCCTTGTCACAGTGGTGCAGGACAGAGTGCCGGACAAATACAGCTGTCTAGTCGTTCGGATGTAACAAAAAACCGAGGCTCCGTGTATACATTGGCGTGCACGTAAAAGATCTTTTGGCAGTTGGAATTCGATATAAGAGTAATCCATAGTGCCACTGCCTGGGAAAAATTCCCCTCACAGTACACTGTATAGCGTATGCACGTCTTCATTAGCCCAGTATGGAGCAGAACAGTGGGACATTAAACCCCATTTCATTTCATTTTCATTTCATTTCACTGTTACTACAATGATTGCAAACTTATGGTTAAGCCAATGACAGATAATGATAGATTAAAACAGCCTATAGCCTTACTCTATATGAATAATTCATAGTTAACGATATGTTATTCAAGACTGTTGCTGACAGAGTTGGATTATAGACACTATAAGGTAATCTAATAATACATCAAAATATATAATCTAAATGCTAAAAGTCATGTATCATAAAAAAAACAACAAAAGAAATTCCAAGACAATGAACAAAATTTAACAATGTTTATTAATGGAATCTGTATGAAGAATAAACGACAACAAGCTTAAAGGGGCAGTATGGGAGATAGATAAAGATTTGACAGTTCCCGCTATAATATTAACAAGTAGATGACGTAAATAGAATATTATGATGAAAATTTCAGTCAAATTGCTTCACTCTGAACCGAGATATTAGCTTTTGAATTTTAGAATAGCCTCGATCATCATACTAAAGTCGGTACAATAAAATAACAAAGTCTCGATTATCCATTGTTTAATCATCCTACACAAAATGTATTCCAATCCGCTAAATATCACGGGCTAACGATGGCATCGAGAGATGATTATGGTCTGGATAAGTTAATTAATGTCAAATTAAATATTAAGACAACACTTTAGGCCTAAATAAAGACCTGGGCCCTTATTCACGAAAACTTAAAGTAAGTTACAACTGAAATTTTAAGAAATACTGCAACTTCATTGGATATATGCAAATTGATTTTACTGGTCAGCCAATCGAATTGCAGTATTTCTTAAAATTTCGATTGTATCTCAGTTTAAGTTTTCGTGAATAGACAGATTTAGCTCTTGCATAAATGTATGTTTAATTATGAAGCATGAGGTGAATCTCAAAAATAAATTGCTCAATGGCATAGCAACGCAAATAAAGACCACTATTTCACAGAGAGAAATCGGCTTTACCGACCACTCGACATTAACCCAGTCATTTCGGATCTAAAATAAGGGTACAGTTTTATTTGTATAACTTGTTTGCGTGCAGGGGTCTTTGAAAGTGAGACGTATCGGGGCTACCTGGAGAAAAATCACGAGGTTAAAGCGGCATTAGGTAAGATTATAGATAAAGAGCTGACAATCTCGATTATCCATGTTTACGGTAACCGCATCGGCCAAAAAACGTATTTAAATCTAATTTTATCGCAGTAATCTGATGGCATCGAGAGTTGATTATTAGACATTAATTATTTATATAACATTTCGGGCTCTTGCATTAGGCCTGTTTAAGCAGGTGATCCTACATCCTGCCAGGTAAAATCCCTGAATCAAACCCACTGGACCACCTCCAATCTCGGCCGGTGTAATTCCTAATGCCAGGTTCCCAATATGACGATTTGTGCTACGACTGAAGTGCTGGTTTTAATCGTGGAGTAATCGTAGTGATCATATCCGGTCTTATCATATATTGAAGTCAGGAACAGCCGTAGCAATCTTGTTGATCGTATCGAAACGAATCCGAAAGCATCTGCAGTAGCAGAACGTGGACTCAATAGGGACAACCCTATTGTAACGTATCGCACGATAGTTGGACCTGGCATTAGGCCTACAATCTGAACATCGTGTAAAGTAGTGCTGGCACGATATAGTTGAATCGATGTATCCCGATTCACCTTCTAGTGATAAGTGTATTGAATCGTGAGACACTGAATCGATATTTGACGATTCATTTTTATGTCTTTTTTTTGTCGCTTCAGTAAATAACTTGTCACTCTTAATTATCCACGTCACGCATTATCCATAGGTACACCGACACTCTTAAATTGTTTTGGTTCTTATTTTTATCCACATCAATATCTTGATATAAAACAGTTTTATTTTTTTGACATTGGCAGAATCAAAAATATCTTTTATTCATTTAATCTGTTGTTTTCTTGGTATATATTGACCTGGTTATGAATCGTGGAACGAATCGTATCGTAGCACCTGAATCACAATACGTATCGTATCGTGACTGCAGTGGCAATACCCAGCACTAGTATAGCATGGAAGCGTATAGGTGTCAATAGAGCTATAGATACCGCAATATTAAGTTGCTAATATTTCATCATATTGTAATTATTCTGATGATTTTATCTCTGAAAAGACAGTTTTTGGTACGTTAATTAAATCAACGCGCTATATTATATGTCTCGATTTTGTTTCAAATATGCACGTTTGCGTTAAGATATTGCTATTCTGAAGCTTTGTCGGTATATTTCTACAATTTCGAAAAATATCGCCATGCGCTATATCGACGTGTGCATTTAAAACGAAATGACGATTACTGCACGATTAAAACCACTAAGGTTCCGTCTACCAATGTCAGAAAATTAAAACACTTAACAAAGATCATCCCCTATCCGAAATTCCGTGATTGGGACAGGGAAAGTGGAATTATGTAAACATTTTGGGGTATGTTTTAGTTCTTCAGTAAGGATAATACTTGAAGATTTAAAACAGCTCCGTAGAATGCTCGACCACATAGGAAGGATAATAATTGAAGATTTAAAACAGCTCCGTAGAACGCATTCTACCAACACTAACAGTTTAGTAGACCGCTCGACCACATAGAAAGGATAATACCCGAAGATTTAAAACAGTTCCGTAGAACGCCTACTTTTTTAGATTCACGTGAAGAAGTTGGGTGTGTGTGGGGGGGGGGGGGGCCGAATGGTTAGCACGTGCGCGCTGTATTGAGTTAACTGGCGTGGTTTCGAATCCCCGGTTGTACGTGACAAGGAGTAGGGTCGCCTGTCTAGCCTCGTGGGTTTTCTCCGGGTCCTCCGGTTTCCTCCCACTGCTAAAGACCCCTACGCGCAAGCGAATTATTGAAATAAAATTAAACCATGTTAGTCCCGAAATGACCTAGTTTGTGTTGAGTGGACGTTAAACTCTCTCTCTCTCTCTCTCTCTCTCTCTCTCTCTCTCTCTCTCAGTTGCTAGTCCACACAGAAAGGATAATACTTGAAGATTTAAAACTTATTATTTAATCAACCTTGTTACATTATTTGATACCACTTTTTAATCGTGACTGATTTTAAGAAATCAACAGTTTCATGATAACCGCGTTTATCAGCTTCAATAATACATTCTTCTTTATCCCTGCTCTCGAAATTACAATTCTTCGACAATAAGAGTTTAATTTTATCTAAACGTTGTGCGTCTGAAATACAGCAACTGAAGAATAGCGTTGTTTTATTTATAGCTTCACAATTAACATTGCAGTTTTTATCTACTAAGTATTTGACTACATCCAAAGAGCTGCACTGGCACGAAATATGTAAAAGCGTAAAGTTATCCGTATCCCTGACATCTAGTCTTGCGCCACACGCTACCAGAAGCTGTATTTTGTCCATAGCTTGTAGAACATCGACATCACAACAAAAGAAGAGTGGGGTTCTATTATATCTGTCCACACAGTTAATACTGTGGTCATTATCGAGGAGATATTTGACCACTTGTACAGTACTACATTGACATGCTTTGTGTAGTACTGTTTGGTTTGATAAATCTCGTACGTCTAACTTTGCACCACTATCCATTAACAGTTGTATTTTAGCAACGGCTTGTGGTGCGTCCCTCACACAACAATAGAATAGGGGCGTTCTGTTATATTTTCCACCTACGCTGTTAACATTACAACCATTATCAATAAGATATTTGACCGTCTCATAACTGCTAAATGCGCATGAATAATGTAGTAATCTGGCACTGTCTTTATCTGTAACATCTAACCTGGCACCACTGCTAACCAATAACGCAATCTTTTCAACACTATTTGCAGTGGTGTAACAGCACGAGAACAACGGCGTTCTATTCCAACTATCCTCACTGTTAAGGTTACAGCTATTATCTATTAAATAACTCACTGCAGCTAACGTGCTGTATTCACAGGCATAATGTAACAGTGTTTTGTTGTTTTTTGTCGGGACATCTAATGAGCCGCCTTGTAATAAAAGTTGTCTAATTTCGATAATACCACCCTGATCAGATTCGTCCATTTTATCATAAACCATTTTATCAAAGATCAATCTTATTAAATCATTTGGTGCTGACTGACAGATTTTAACAAGGGCGTTAAGTTTGGAATATCCTTTAGACACAATAGATTTTAATTTATCTATACCATTAAATTCTGAAAGACAGGCCTTTTCTATGGGAGTGTCACCATCCCCATCCGTTAAATAAATGTTTTCGCAACTTTGGCTTAGAATTACCTTGACACCGTCTATATTATCACCGTATGCAGAATGATCTAGTGGAGATTCATTCATGGAAACATCTATTTTGTTTTCAGATGGAGTGGTATTCTGTGATGTGATATCATCTGGAAAATAAAACAAACATTGAATAAAAATTGGATTCGATGACGATGATGATATTTCGAAAAGTTCAAACATTCGACATGGACCTGTCTTACAGTTTGCCCTTTGACAATGTCAAGCATACATAAAGCCATAAACACAAATCATTTACATAACAATAATGAAATATTTGAACTTGCAACGTAATAAATAAGAGAGAGGGAGAGAGAGAGAGAGAGGGAGAGAGAGAGAGAGGGAGGGAGAGAGAGAGAGAAAGAGGGGGTATAGTCCACTCGACACAAACTGGGTCATTTCGGGACTAACATATCGTTCAATTTTATTTCAATAATTTGTTTGCGCGCGTAGGGGTCTTTAGCAATGGAAGAAAACCGGAGGACGCGGAGAAACCACACGAGGTTGGACAGGCGACACTACTCATTGTCACGAAAAACAGGGGAATCGAAACCACGCCAGTTGACTAAATGTTATACATATGATATTGATATTGTTTACAACAAGAGTCAGAATGTGAGTATTTGTTTATACATTCGGTGGGTGACTTACGTTTTGTTAGTTCTTCTTCCGGGTTATCTTTCGTACTCTTCACTTGATGATTTTTACTCCTTTTAATCCCCAGCTCGCTTTTTACAATCCCTGAAATCATATAAAACAATTTACAGGCAATGAGAAACTGTCTCTACTAGCATAAATTAAATACCAAGTTTTTAATATAAATCATATACTTCAGCCTAAGTTGCTTTTTTTAGGAGAACTCATTCAATATTATTTATTAGACATTTTGGTATGGTCTGTAGCATATATTTGAAACTGGAACTTTTCGCGGCAATTCTTGAGACACGGTTCAACAAGTCATAAATTAAATGTACACACATTACAGCTGTCTAGTCGTTCGGATGGTACGTAAACCGAGGTCTAGTGTATACTTTGGCATGCACGTAAAAGATCCCTTGTCACATGGAATTCGATATAAGAGTAGGCCATAGTGCTGCTGCCCGGGCAAAACTTGTCTCATAGCACAGTGTTTGGCGTATTCGCGTCTTCATTAGTCCAGTCGGAGCAGAACAGTAGGTCCTTAAACCCCATTTTATTTCATATTTCATTTTCATTAACTGATCTTACCTAATTGATCGGCAAGTATAGTAAACCCCTTTTCCATTAAAGCATCTATAAATATCGTGTAGCAATCACCAGACTGGTTCATAATTATATCTAGAAGTTTTCGTACTCTTGGTGTATACAGTGGTTCATTTAAGACAGCGAATTTTGTGTCTAAAGTAAGAACCATCTTTGAGAACAGGTAGTCGACTAATGTCTCGGGGTTCCCGATATTTTCAAGCAAGTAATCGTAACAGGTTTGCATTACTTCGAAATCTTCAGACGGCATCCGGCTTGTAAAGGAAGATGCCATGATTTGATTTTCTGAAAAATATAAATGATGATTTTAGTTGCTATCATTTAAATTTTACTATTTCAAACCAACTGGACTATTTAAACAGACATTACAACATTTTGAGAGTTTACTACTAGCACCATGGACATTTGAGATAAACAAATTGGAAGTAGCATACTAAGAAAATAGTTAATCTACTATTCACATAATTATATCCGTATACAAACAATTAACTCTTCTATCATTCCGTCTTAATATATCAGCATAACCTGACAATGTCTGTTTAAACCCTCTTCTTCGATACTAGACCACAAAGTCAACAACAATGTCGACAGTAAAACAGGGAACGTGATTGGTGGTCTGAATCCAAACTTAGTCTTCCGTGCGACTTTAAATTTCGCTTGTCATATAATACGTGATAACGCCTACTTCGCTTGTCATATAACGCTTTGGGATAACCCAATACATTATACAACAGCCCTGGAGAGTCAGCAACCTTCTTCAACTTTATTGAAAACATATAAATATTTCTGATGGCATAAGCTACTAGGGTAAGGGTGACCTAGTTATAATATAATATAGACTAGCCCACTATGTTTTAACGTCGACTGTGTTCCAATCCCCTAAAATGATTAACTCCACACGTCGTCGATCCAACTTAAACCAGTCTTGTGTATTTCTATCGGGGAGATTTTGATTTTATGAAATGATATAATGGAGATGATATACCCTACACTGTATCCTATAGAAATAATACAGTTAAACATACCTATAATATCGCACTAACACTGTAGAGTTGTCCTTGTTACAAGCCTTGTTGGCGAACTTGATTCTATATGACACAAAATATGACGAACAGCTATAAATAACACGGGTCACGTGATTCTATAAATATCTCCTGATTCACTTGAATCGTTTTAATTTCTTATCTTCATTTGAGAGATTTGAATCGCTTGCTAACTACTATACTGTGAAAGTCGAATTATTAATAAAGATATCAGCCTAAAAGTGGTTCAATACTTATTCAGTATTTACAAAGATATGATGAATTAAAAGTTTGTAAACATTGACAGGTGATGAAAACGGGATATGGTCACATGGCCACGGATCACCAAGGATTTTCCCATTGAATTTAATGTTAAGTCTCGTCTCTGAGGCCGGCTCTAACTTTTTCTCAAATTTTCGTTGGGCGGAACGCTTTCTACCACGGATGGGGCATCATGCGGCAACCTCTTGCTCAAAAGCAGCTGTGGGGTTTATCATGGAAAACTTGAGATACACAAACTGAAAGTAGAGATAAAAAAACCATGCAATTTTCCGTCATACATCTCAACTTAACCAACCGCTTAACTCCCTTATCCTTCCGCCTGAAAATCATGAATATTCACCAAAACCAGGCAGAACATGTATATTCAAACCCTTTCTTCGATTTTTCACCAAAAAGTCAACAAAGATCGCCATGCAAAAGGAGGAAAAGGGAAGGGCAAAGAAAGACTCAATATAACTTTCGCCCTTGTTAAGGGTGACGGCGTAGGGATTATTAGTGAAAGGTATCCAAATGTGATCTGGGTCAAGGAATTATCCACAATTGATATTTTGATTTTGTCCGAAAAATGAAGATTCCGATTAGTGGTTTTGACGGTCGGTCCTGCTCATAAGATGTTACGGGTGTCGAATATTGAACATTAAGTGGTAGGGGTGGACAAACGGCATGTACATTTTTACATGGATGATGACTAGTAATTTTATTATTGTTATAGCAATGAAAATTCATAAGGCGGGTTGGTCGGGGGAGTACACAGACGTGGATTAGGGAAATCGCCAGCGAAAATGGCGCCATTGCCTATAGATTCCTTTGACCTACCGTAAAATAAAATCAGATGACAAATTTTTGAATATTTTTACCAGGTGATTGCGACATGTTGGTCTTATTGTGGATTTCAAAATTGAATGTTCTTATGAATGAGCCTGGAAAATGTCATGGATTTAACATTGACGAATTACTAGTGTATTCACTGTTACACTATTCGGAAGACCCTTGTTAGAATCAATCTAAATAAAATACAGATCTATATTTCGTTTCGTTTATATACTATCGATGGCCTCTACCACATGAAGATCTGACCATTTGTAGTGGGGGTCGTGTCAGGGGTCATGCGAGTGGCTTTTGACCCTATGACGTCAGATTTCTTGATTAACTAATCAGCGTTGATGTTTCTACTGAAATAGCCACAGTAGTGCAACGCAAGCCAAGAACTCGCCAATGACTTATCTTGTACATTAAACTTAGTTTTTTCCATTCAAATCTAGAAATGGTAATTCATGATGTATGCCCTGAAACATATATTTGTAACTTATTTGGAAATAAACGCCTGTGGGTAACAAAAGGATTTCGATTTTATCTTCAAATCCTTCATGATCTAATTAGATTTTATACAAATTCCGAAGTAAATCTTATTACTGAGATATAGAATTATCTCGTAGAATAAGAAATTAACGTCTATAAAACAGAATATACACTGTGCGACCCGAGTGTAGGTTCAGGTCGAGGTGGTGTTAAGTAGATTTTTTACAAGTAGGTGAGATGAACGTGATTTTGAGTTTTTATGTTTAAAACCCAATCGGCTTATATTGATCGTTTCACTGGCACCTCGTTATTGACATGGAAATAGACAGGTCACAATTCTATGGAATACAGTTTCTGTTTATTACCGAGCGACGTTTCGACTAGGATTGATAAAGACCAGAGAAACCAGCTCGAAATTTCGTTCAGTAGTATACAGTAATTTTTATATTATCACCCAATAATACATTCTACAGTAGATATCGCTTGTGTGATATATTTCATAATCTACTGTGATATCTCCTTAGGAAATATCGCTTTACATGAATTTGATTGGTCAGGTGAAAAGGAACTACTTTTTTTTTATTTTCAAAGAACAGTTCATTTCTTATTAAAAGTAACTTTTTTTTTATTAAAAATGAATTATTGTTATTCAATTGACCTTGATGGAAACACTGGGGCAATATAAATGACTTTGCAATGGTTGAATTGCTGTCAAAAAATGATGTATCACTACGCCGTAATGTTCAGTAAAAGTGAAATCTACAGCAAAGAATTATATTTATCTATTTGTGCATGTAAGAAGGGATTGGGTGATAAATAAAATCTCCTGTACTCGTCTTTTTTGATATCAAAAAATATCAACACTCGTTGATAAAGTAAAAAAAGCACTCGACTCCAAAAAGACTGGTAGGAGATTCTCTATTTGTATAATCCATTGTGCAGTGTGAACAAATGTATTCCAACACAAATTGACGTGTTTTGGGAGAAAGGCATTTCTTTCTACACCCACAGATTGTGGCGTCGATTATGGAAGACCAAACAGCTCTGATTTATAAAACAAATATTCATTTTGCGATGCAAATTTTTATTTTAGTGTACAATTGTCGAAATACGACAAAAAATAAAGAAATAAGAATTAAGGGTTATCAATTAAGAACTAAGAATTAAGAACACAACAAAAACTCCTTAAAGCTGAGGTCACTGTTTCCTCGAAACCTTTTAGTTTATTTACCAAAAGCGGTGAAAACTGGGACTGCCCCTTTAATATTGATTTTTATAAAGAAAAATGGATGGATTTGATTTAACGTCTCATCAACGCACTCCTTGGCTAGTTTTGGGACTAAGAGACGTTTTTTTTTTATTCTGTTTTGTCCGAGGGCCGAGGGTCTGACACGAAAACATCGTCTAGTCGTTCGAATGGGACGATAAACCGAGGTATCGTCTACACGTTGACATGCAGGATACGTTGACTGGGGTTTAACGTCACAGATTAAAAAGAAACTATCTCGGTCTAGCGGTTTGTCTCTGTGCGTTATATTTTAGCTACCAAAATATAACAGACATACTTAATATGCAGTACCCACTAGAGCTGTGTAGACGTAATAATACTTAAAATAGAAAGAAAATCTAAATAAATCAGAAATACAACACCAAATCAAATATTTATATAATAAAAAGTCTGGTTATTGAAAAACACTTAAGCGGTGTATGTCATACAGACAATCAAATAAAATAAATGTGAAGCCACACGATAAATAAATTCCCGTCTGTTATAAATTAAGTTGCGTATGACTTGTCACATACAACCGGGGATTCGCCCAATGACAGGCCCAAAATGATAAATAAATTCTAGTCTGTCATAAATTAAGTTTCGTATGACTTGCGAAAGATTATTTAGTTGAGACCAAATAAGTATAATGTGGGGCTGTAGAAATCCTTCGTAAAGTTTTATAGTTTAAATTGACGTAATGCATAGACAAAATGACACCAACTTAGACTTAGAGGAAGATATTCGTGGTTCATCAGATTTATGTCTTGGGTATGGTGGCTGTTAGCGGCCTGTGAAGAAGGCGACAAGTCGACAAGTCGACAAAATCAACCCGCAAACACGACAAAATAACCCGACGATCGTCGCCTTCCTTTCGTCGACTTGTCGGGTCAATTCTGTCGACTTGTCGCCTTCGACTTATTCACTACCCGACAAGTCGACAAAATACAATTATTTCGACTTGTCGTGCGGCGACTTGTCGCCTCGGAAGTCAAACTCGAGCTTGCGCATTTGCTGATTGGATAAGTTGCATGGGCACAGATTAACTTCCGAGGCGACTTGTCGGGTCAAGTCTGTCGACTTGTCGACTTGTCGCCTTCGACTTATTCTCAGCCCGACAAGTCGACAAGTCGACAAAATACAATTATTTCGACTTGTCGTGCGGCGACTTGTCGCCTCGGAAATCAAACTCGAGCTTGCGCATTTGCTGATTTACTTCCGAGGCGACAAGTCGCCGCACGACAAGTCGAAATAATTGTATTTTGTCGACTTGTCGGGATGTGAATAAGTTGACGCGACAAGTCGAAAAGTCGACAGAAGTGACCCGACAAGGCGACGAAATGAAGGCGATGATCGTCGGGTTATTTTGTCGTGTTGGCGGGTTGATTTCGTCGACTTGTCGCCTTCTTCATAAGGCGACGATTTAGATGACATTTGAATGGACGCTAACAGCCACCATCCTTGGGGGTGTAAATATTCTACTGTATTGTACATGTGGGTGGTCTTTTTATTTCAGAATAGGTTGGTGACTGAATGGTTTAACGCGTGCGCTTTAGGTTGCAAGTTACACAAAATGCCATAATGTCGCGTAAAAATGTAGTCCGATAGCGGCGCTACGTCCTACTATTATATTGAATTCCAACTGCCAAGGGTTCTTTTATTTTTATTCAATTTTCCTTCCTACTTTTCTGCGCATTCTATAGACCAGAATGCGTAATATATACATACACTTTAAGGACATTTTAAGGGAGCCACGGTGGCTAAGTGGGTAAAATGCTGGTTCGCTAGTCTAGAGGTCGCGAGTTCGCGTCCGGTATTGGTCGAGAAAGTTCATCGGAAATTTCCGACGTGGTTTCTAAATATCTGTGGTGCAGGACGGAGGGCCGGACACGGGCAGCTGTCTAGTGGTTCGGGTGGGGGAAAAACCGAGGTCCAGTGTATACATTGGCAAGCACGTAAAAGATCCCTCATAGCACACTGTATGGCGTATGCCCGTCTTCATTAGCCCAGTCGGGGCAGAACAGTAGGGCGCTAAACCTCGTTTCATTTCATTATATGTAAAGAGTTGGAAGTCATTCGTTTAATCATTGATTGCCGTTTATGTAATCTTTAATGGACATTGAAAATCTCAGTTTTACAGCCTCCTCGTGTCTAATCTTTCCAATAAAATGTTTTATTTAAATTGTGAATCTGAAACACTTTGCATCACTGCCTAATTTATACTTGCACGTTAA